GGGGGTGCAAAGGAGGTTCACTAGGTTGATTCCAGAGTTGACGGGGTTGGCTTATGAGGAGAGACTGAGTAGATTGGGATTATATTCATTGGAATTCAGAAGATTGAGGGGGGATCTTATAGAAACATATAAAATTATGAAGGGAATAGATAAGATAGAAGTAGAGAGGATGTTTCCACTGGCAGGTGAAGCTAGGACAAGAGGGCATAGCCTCAAGGTTAGAGGGAGCAGATTTAGGACTGAATTGAAAAGGAAATTCTTCACCCAGAGGGTTGTTAATCTATGGAATTCCTTGCCCAGTGAAGTATTTGACGCTACTTCAGTAAACGTTTTTAAAAAAAAGGTAGATTTTTTTTGAACAATAAAGGAATTAAGGGATACGGTGAGAACGGGTAAGCGGATCTGAGTCCACAAAAAGATCAGCCATGATCTTATTGAATGGCGGAGCAGGCTCGAAGGGCCAGACGGCCTACTCCTGCTCCTAGTTCTTATGTTTTTTGTTCTTATAATTGTAAATCAACAGTTGAAATGGAAAAATGTACTTAAATTGATTACAATTACAAGAGAAAGGGCACTGAGACAATTTTTAGAAATAAAAACTGACAAGTTATCAAAACAAGATATGCTTCATCTTATGGACTTAAAAAGAAATGACTGCTGAGATAGTAGATAATTGGTTTTAACATTAAAATATTTGGGAATGTCCTATTTGATTGGAAAATTCCAAATCTAACCCCTCCATTCATGAAAGGAGCACACAAAACAGGGAGGCATAGGCTAATTGGCTTAAAATCTGTCATAAGGCGAGTGCTGGAATCTATTATTAAGAAGGATATAGCAGGACGCTTAGAAAATCTTAAGTCAATCAAGGCAGTCAGTATGGTTTGGTAAAATGGAAATTGTATTTGACTAATTTATTAAAGTTCTTTAAGGAAGTAATGAACAATGAGGATAAAGGGGCTCCAGAAGGTGTGAGGAACTTTGATTTTGAGACAGCATTTGACAAGGTGCCACCTAGATGTTTCCTTCATAAAATAAAATATCACGGAGCTGGGTTAACATATTAGCATAGAAAAAGAATTGGCTACCTCATAGAAAATAGTAGCATGGGTCATTATATAATAGAAAAAATGAGTCAAGTGGTATGCCCAGCAATCAGTGCTGGGCCTCAACAAATAAAGCAATGACTTAGATGAGAGACCAACTGTGTAGTTGTCAAACTTGATGACATAAAGAGCATTGTAGGAAAGCAAGTTGCAAAGAGGACATAAGGAGTCTCCAAAGGAACTTAAGTGGGTTAAGAGAATGAGCAAAAAATTCACAGATCAAGTATAATGTGGAAAAATGTGAACTTGTTAACTTTGGCGGAAAGAATAAAAATTACAATACCACTTAACTGGGGAGAGATGGCATAATGCTCTGGTGCAGAGGGATCACAAAAACTTTGCATGCAGGTACAGCAAGTGTTTTGTAAAGCAAGTGGAATGTTGTTACTTGTCTCATAGAATCCCTACAGTATGGAAACAGGCCATTTGGCCCACCAAGTCCACAATGACCCTTCAAAGAGCATCCCACCCAGGCCTACCCCATCCCTGTAACCCTGCACTTCCCATGGTTAATGCAACTCAACTACACATCTTTGGACACTACAGGCAATTTAGCATGGCCAATTCACCTAATCTGTACACCTTTCGACTGTGGGAGGAAACCAGAGCACCCAGAGGAAACCTATGCAGACATAGGGAGAACATACAATCACCTGAGGGTGGAATTGAACCCTGGTACTGTGAGGCAGCAGTGCTAACCACTGAATCACAGTGCTGCCCCAATGCTCACAGCAAGGGCAACAGAATATAAAAGTAAGGAAGTTTTACTGCAGATGTGCTGGATGCTGTTGAGTCCACATAGAAACTGATAGTTTTATTCTCCTTATCTTAAGAAAGAATATAATTGCATTGAAAGCAGTTTAACATGGTCACTCAACTGATTCCTGATATGAAGGATTTGTTTTATGAGGAAAGGTTGAAAAGGTTTGGCCTGTATCCAGTGGACGTTAGTAAAATGAGAGGGAGATCTTATTAAAACACACAATAGCCTGAAGGGAGTGACAGGGTAGGTGCTGAAAGGATATTTCTTTTCCTGGGGATGTTTAGAACTAGAGGACATGGTTCAAAAACAAGGGTTGTATTCAAGATGGAGATAAGGAGAAATGCTCTCAGAGGGTTGTTATCTCAAAGAACCATTGAGGCTTGTCATTGAATATTTTTAAAGCTAAGTTACATCTATTTCTAACCGGCAAAAGACTTAACGTTTGTAGGGAGTAGACAGGACTTAAAGGTCACAATCACATCAGCCATGATCTTAGATATTGGCCAATTCCTATGCTTTTATGTAACCTAATAGTTCAAACAAGAGTACAAGCTAGATTGTTGACGAAGAATAGAGGAGGTTTTTATTCTGCACTTTGGTTGAGTATCCGAGACCTGGTGCTCATGATTCTTGTCCTATATGAAAGATACATGGCACTTCGTGTGTCTTGGTGACATGTGTGTAAGATATGTCTCTAGCTGCTTCAACTCAAGTTCAGGATTTCTGAACCTGACAGGCAGCCAAAGTCACTGCAGACAATCTGACAGGATATGAACTTCCACAAGGTGGGCACTCTACTGGCAATGAATAGTCACGATAATAGGTGGGTGGCTGTTGGACAGAGCAGGAAGAGAGTGGATCCGCAAATCTTTGTGCTGTCACTCTCAGATACTCAGTGTTGGAGACTGTTGGGTGTCACAATGCTTTGTAAAGTGCATTTAAGATCATGACACCAATGGTTAGGGGAATATGAAGGTGGGAACTGCACAGTGTAGAAACATAGTTGTTATGGGAGATTCCACAGTCAGGATGACACACAGGCAATTCTGTAACTATATTCTGAATCTACTATGGACAACTGCCACCTGGTACTAGCAAAAAGATTATCTCAGAGAAGAGGCAAAATATTCTGCAGGGGGAAGGAAGTGAACCAGGAGTTGTAATGCACATTGGTATCAACTACATAGGGCAGGTTAGACTTTCATGAGCTAGTGAAGGAAGTTTAAAGTAAGATTACAAAGGTAGTTCCATGCTAGCAAGAACAGAAATAAGAGAAAAGGGAGTTCAACATACAGAATAAAATAAAATGGCCTTTATTGTCACATATACTCAATGAGTACAGTGAAAAGTTTATACGTCGCCAATTATAGCACCGACTTAGATGCAAAAGTACCGGGGCAAAGCTTCTTTAGTTACAAGACTTAGACAATACAGAAATAAAATGTCCAGCATTACAGAAATAAAAGTTCAGTACAGCAGACCATGCTGGCACCTAGCTTCCAGTCTCCACCGGGGCCTGGCTCCACACTGCGCAGGCAACATGCCACTCTGCAGGAGGCTGAAAGGTCACCTTGGCTAGCTGGGAGGCTTGTACAGGAGGAGGCTGCTGTGCCAGGCTGGGAGGTTGCCTTGCCACGCTGGGAGACCAGTGACTTGAAGCATGGTGCAGGAGGAAGAAGGACAGGTGTCAAGTTCTTGCAGGATTGGAATCAGTTCTAGAGCAAAAGTCACCATCTAAATAAAGAGGGGTCAAACCACAAAACACTGGAATCAGTGGGCTGAATCTTACTTTTTTTTGAAGTCTGAATTGTGTTGAGATTTTTGGAGACTGTTGCTATGAGGTCTGGTGAGTTCTTTTACTATACCTAACTAAAGTCACCTCATTAATTACCAACCACACCCCTATGGCCTCTCTCATATCCGATTTCTGCCTCAGCCTACCATGTGCCCTTCCCAGAACAAATTGCTACTCAGCAGGAACCCTGGAATTCACCAGCATCCCTTGCACCCACGCCATCTTTACAAGCCCAGTATGCACCTGGACAAGCACTGTCAGTCCGGAGCTGCCCTGCACAGTTCCTGATATTTGCCCTCGACATGGCAGTCAGGGGAAATTGGTGTCCTGCATCATGGGTAAAGTCCTGTTGGGTCGGGTGGTGCCAATGCATCTTGTACCTGTTGAGACAATTTCAGGGTCTAAGGCTCCTCCAGCACTGCCCCATGGATCTGTCAGACTCTCAGTACATCCTCCTGCTATGACCAATGACCAGCTGTAAAGTTCTGATTAACTTGAAGGGTGTGACTGGCTTCTGGAATGAAGTGTCCATGTGATTCTTCCCCTCCCTGATGTACCATGGTGTCAGAAACTCTGTTTCCAGCTCAGTAGCCCCTCGGCCAAACATTGAACAGACTGCAGCCACTGACTACAGAAGTTGTTGTCTGGGGTTGCAAAGAATTCCACGGACTCCCACACATTGCAGTCACAGCACAACACCAGCCCTGCCATGCATGTCCAACTTTATTTATCTAATTAGTCAATTAGATATGAGTTACATAGCTACAAAAAATAAACAGTTACACTCTCCTAATGTAGAGGCAACAGAAGATGACTCACTAGCTACTGGGGGTTGAGAAAGGTAGGAAAAGGAACACTACTTGCCCAAACCCCTTGTCATAGTGAATTAACACCCTATAAAAGCAGGAACAAAACAGAGTTAAAGTTTCGGGTGCAGTGACCCTTCCTCAGAACCTTCCAGTTCTGAGGAAGGGTCACTGGACCCGAAACGTTAACTCTGATTTTTTCCTTCACAGATGCTGGCACACCTGCTGAGCTTTTCCAGCAACTTTGTTTTTGTTCCTGACTTACAGCATCCGCAGTTCTTTCAGTTTTTACCCTATAACAGCAACCTGTCATGTGTACATTCACTGTCCACACTAACAGGGAAATGCAGTTGTCTGTTTTTGATTGGTAAAATTGTTCTAATTGCAGTGTTTCAATTCTAAAATCAAGATAAAGGTAGCACATTTGTAAAACCCGTGTCCTTAATTGCACAGCATCAGATGGTATTGTGTTATTAGTTTAAAAAGAAAATAATACACTATTTAGAAATGGCAGACAAACATTCCATTACCTATTACGGTTATGTCAACTGGGTTGCTGGGTTGTGACTGCACCACTCTCCCCTCAACAAATCCTGTGTCCTGGCAGGTATATGATCCTCTGTCTCTATCAGAAATTTGTTCAATACGCAGCCAATTCAATTTCCGAGTTTCACGTGTGCGAGTCAGCAACTTGCCGTTCTTGTAGAAAGAGAAGGGGCTACCATTATATTGTCCCAGACTTGTACAGGTTAGAGTGGCCACCTCTCCTTTTACATACACACCAGAATACTGGTCCAGACCAATTCTTGGAGTCATAAGATGATCTGAAAGAGAAGTTCATAAACTTGATTAAACATCAATAAATTGAATTTATTAGAAGCATAGAATCCATACGGTGTGGAAAGAGGCCATTTGGCCCATCAAATCTGCACCAGCCCTCCAAAGAGCATTCAACCCAGACACAACCCCCAACCCTAATATCATAACTCCGCATTTACCATGGCTAACCCTCCTAGCCTACTCATCCCTGGACACTATGGGCAATTTAGCACAGCCAATCCTGCACACTTGGACATCTTTGGACGTGGGAGGAAATTGGATCACTGGGTGGAAGAGCACACAGACATAGGGAGAACCTGAAAACTCCAGACAGACAGTCACTCAAGGCCAGAATCAAACCCACGTCACTGGTACTGTGTGGCAGCAGTACTAACCACTGAACCACCATGCCATCCATTATCCTTTTATAACAATAATTTTTCTAATAATACTTTTAAAAATGTTCATAGTTTTTATAATATTTGTATATTATGATGGTGGTTTTAAATCTGTATCAATGTTGTGAGGGTGGTTTCTATAAATATATTCTGTAGTCATTAAATTGATGCTGCGCTAGCCTCAAAGAAAGGTGACCTGATGAAGGAGCAGAGCTCCGAAAGCTTGTGATTTCAAATAACCCTGTTGGACTATAACCTGGTGTTGTGTGACTTCTGACTTTGTCCACCCCAGTCCAACACAGGCACCTCCACATCATAAAAAGATTGGTATGGATTTTACTTTCCTGATGCTAGTTTGAGTCAAGTACCTCAATTAACTGAAAGGGGAGATGATGGCCTAGTGGTATTATCGCTAGACTATTAATCCAGGAACTCAGTTAATGTTCTGGGGACCTAGGTTCTAATCCTGTCACAGCAAATGGAGGAATAAAATATAAATTTTTAAAAATTGTTGATTGGCGGTAAAACCCAACTGGTTCACTAATGCCTTTGAGGGAAGGAAATCCACTGTCCTCACCTGGTCTGGCCCACATGTGACTCCAAGCCCTCAGCAATGTGGTTGACTCTCAATCGCCCTCTGAAATGGCCTAGCAAACCATTCAGTTGTGTCTACAAAGTCTCAAAGAAATGAAACGTGGCATTGACCGGGGCATCAGAAAAGCCAATGACAGAAACATCCAAGTCGACCCTCCAAAGTCCTCATTACTAACATCTAGGAGCTAGTGCCAAAACTGGGACAGCTGTCTCACAGACTAGTCAATCAACAGCCTGACAGAGTCATATTTATGGAATCAATCCTTACAGACAATGTCTGTATCACCGTCTGGCAGGACAGATACAGCAGAGCTGGCAGCACAGTGGTGTACAGTCGGGAGGGTATTGCCCTGGGAGTCCTCAGCATTGAACTTGGACCCCATGAAGTCTCATGTCTTCAGATTAAACATGGGCAAGGAAACCGCTTGCTGATTATCACATAGTAGCCTCTCTCGGCTGATGAATCAGTGCTCCTCCATGTCGAACAACACTTGGAGGAAGCACTGAGGATGGCAAGGGCACAAAATGTACTCAGGGTGAGGGATGTCAATGTCCACCACCAAGAATGGTTTGGCAGCAACACCACTGATTAAGTTGGTTGGGTCCTAAAGGACTTAGCTGCTAGACTGTGAATGGAACTTGGATAGCCAGGTGGACCTCATAGAATATGACTTCCCTAATTGGGACTGTTAACCTGGTCTAATCAGGGACTCTTGGCTGACAGATATATACAGGAGTGTCAGGGGTTCTGCTCACTCTAAAAGCCAGCTTGGTGCTAGCTGAGTCAGCGTAATGTACTATGCACGTGTAAATAAAGGGTGACTTGGTGATGGGATACCAGCCCTCGTGGAATTATTTCAGTGGTGACAAGAGAAAAACATGCTCGTGAAGAGATTCACGCACAACAGTTGGCTTTGAATTGGGGTAAGCATTTCTGGCATGATGCCATTATTTGGGAAGTTTGACTTGTTTGATCCTGTCCTTGAAGACTGGGCCCAATATGTGGAAAGAATGTGTTATATTTTCTGGACAAATAACATTGGGGCAGATGAAAAGCAATGCATAATTTTGACAGCACGTGGATCTGCAGCTTTTTTGGTTAATAACAGCCTAACTTTCCCGCAGGTACCAGATACTAAAACCTTTCAAAAGTTAATGGATTTAGCTAAGAAATATTATGACCCCAAACCTCCTCTAATTCTGAGATATTACTTGACAGTTTGAGAACCAGGGGAATCCATGTTGGGATTTTTGATGAGGTTAAAGCAATTGGCAGAGGAATGTGATTTTGGTTTAACCTTAAGTGAGATGCTAAGAGACCCTTTGTTATGTGGGATTAATGACATGACCATGCAAAATCGCTTACTAGCTGCAGCTCAAATGGACTTCAAACTGGCACTACAACTGGCTTTGTAATTAGAAAATGCAGCAAGTGGAGCTTATAAGTTACAGGGTATGCCAATGGAAGTGGACACCCTCGCCAGACCGACTGAGCTTGGGAACATCACTTGAGTGAAGGCAATTGCATAGCCTCACTCAGGACATATCCTGAGCAGAGCGACCCTACATCAGCAAAACCCCAAAACAAAACCAAGCCTCGGCCAAAAGGTTAGTATTTTCTCAAGAATCCAGGCTGGCAGGCCATTGTTGTTGCTCACGGTATATGGACTTGAACTGCAGTAGAGTCCCACTAGGCCTGAACTGAGTAAGAGAACTCATAGACCGGTAACCAACAGACTGCACACCCTAGGAAGTCCACCTACAGCTAGTTTGGGACAGTTAAATTGCTTAGCAACATCCAAAACAGAACCGATCAATATAAATGTCTGACTAAATGGTCACCCTGTTTAATGGAAGCCGCTACCAGAGCGGCTATATCAGTGAGTGTGGAACCAGTCTTCAACAAAATTTGTTCTGGACTCCAACCCTTGAGTTAGCGTTAGACCTCAGCCAGGCTGAGAACCTATACTGGGGAATCCCTACAGATTAAGGGTACAACTTCAGTTCCAGTCTCTTATGAGAAGCAGCTGGTTCTGTTACCACTGATTGTAGGAAAAGGCTTGAGCCCAAGTTTGATGGGGCGAAGTTGGTTGAGAAAGATTCAACTTGACTGGCTCACCATTTTTCCATTAGAAGATTGTTGTTTGAATGAAGTCCTAATTACACCCTGAAGCTTTTTAGGGAAGTCTAGGGACTATCAAAGGGGCCAAGGCCACCTTGCATGTTGACCAAGAAACAATTCCATGATTCTGCAAGGCCTGCCCAGTGCCATTTGCCTTGTGTGCAAAAGTAGAGGCAGAAATCAGGTGGCTGGAAAGTGAAGGAATCATCAAACTGGTCCAGTTTGCAGAATGGGCAGCACTGGTTGTACCAATTGTGAAGCTTGACGAGTCAGTTTGCTTTTGTGGGGATTTCAAACAAATGGTAAATTGCTTTTCACAGCTGGATAAATTCCCAATCCCTCATAGAGAGGACTTTCACGCAAAAGTCGAGGAGTGGGGCTGTCCTTCACGAAGCTGGACATGAGCCATGCGACCTGCAATTGTGATTAGATGAGGATTCCCAGAAGTATGCTATATTTAATATCTACAAGTGTTTATACCAATATACGAGCCTGCCTTTCAGAGTATCATCAACCAGTATTATTTTCCAGTGGACGATGGACAACATCTTACAAGGTGTACCCCAGCGTGGCATGTATCTGGATGCTGTGCTAATAACCGGGAATACCAGTAAACAGCATTGATGAAACTTGGACAAACTGCTTAAATGTTTCGCTAAAGCAGGGGTAAGCCTGAGGTGAGAAAAGTGTGTGTTCCAGGGATCTCAAGTGAACTACTTGGGCTAAAGAGTTGACAAGACTGGGTTACACCCATTGGAAGATAGAGTGAGGGTGATCAAAGTTGTCCCCTCTGTCTGTAATAGAACTTAGGTCTTTATTTGATTAGTGAATTATTATGGAAAATTCATACGTAACCTGGCCTCCATCTTGACACCCTTACATTTGCGATTGAAAACGAGTTAGCATTGGAAATGGTCTCATAGCAAAGATGTAGCCTTTAGGGAACTGAAGGAGCAGCTACTGTCATCTAAGGTGTTTGCACACTACGATCCAAGGCGAGATGTGGTGCTGACATGTGATGCCTCCTCGTATGGTATTGGGGTAGCCTCGCCTTACCAGTGGCCCAGTGGAGAGGAACGGCCGACAGCATATGCTTCCCGGACTTTGGCTAATGCTGAATGAAGATACACCCAGATAGGAGAAGGAAGGGTTGGCAGTGTGAGAAAGTTCCACGAAAAGCTCTATGGATGTAAATTTATAATAGTAAGGGACTACAAACCCCTGCTAGGGCTACCTAAAGAGAACAGGGCTGTGCCACCCATAGCTTCAGGTCGAATTCAGCAGTGGGCACTTATTCTGAGCATGTACAATTATATATTGAAACACGTCTGGGAGGCAAATGTGGATGCCTTGAGCCTCCTTCCACTGGCAGATATAGCTCCATTCTGGTTTTAAACTTTCTGGACACCCTTCCAGTCACTGCTGACAATAACAGACTGATATCAAAAAAATTCTGGCAGAACTAGACCAGCTGGTGGTGATGGGAGAAACAAAAAGGCCATTACAACCGGAATTGAAACCTTTCTGGACCCGGCGAGACCAGATCACCGTAGAGGATGACATATTGTTATGGGGAGCAAGAGTCATTGTCCTGAGCAAAGGTTGTAGCCAGATAATGGATGAACTCCACCACAGTCTTCTGAGGGTTTCCAAAACTAAGATGCTGGCGACAAGTTATGTCTGGTGGCCAGAATTGGATACTGATGTAGCCTCATTGGCAGGGCAGTGCCCACAGTACCAACAAGGACGAAAATTACCACCAGCGGTTCCCGCACATTCGTGGGAATGGCTGGGTAAACCCTGGACTTGGTTATGTGTCGACTGTACCGGTGCTTTCATGGACTCAATGTTTTTAGTCATTGTGGATACCCATTCAGAGTGATTGGGCATG